CTGCACCCCATAAACACAATCAAGCCAAGAAAAAAAAACAGTGAAACACCCCTTTAAGAACATATTTGAGAACTCCTTAAGCATTTTTCAATTGCAGTCTTACAAATTCTTGGAATTTATCTTAAGAAATTTCTTAACTTCTTTCTTAAGAAGATTTTCAGCCCCAGGTCATAAAAAAAATAATTAGTATCCTTCTTTCTCTGTAGTGCCACAGCCGCAGTTCCCATTACCACCACTGGGGGCGTCCTCCCCCTCAGCCGTCCTGGAGCCGGCGGTGTAGCTGGAACAGCGCGGGTCGCTCCGCCCGTGGTCTGAGGGCCGGAGGGGTCATCGGGGGGAGCTTACGAGTCCGTGGCGTTCACTCGCACCCCGCCGAACACGAGTCTCTCCTGCCCCACCCGCCATTCCTGTCTCGCCGACACCGCCGCGCTCTCTCACTCGAGCTGCCTGAGCTCCTGCAGCGCCCCCCGCTGGTCTGGAAGAAGAGTGTGTCTGCAGAACACCAGGACTGTAATGGGAAGGGCCCGGGCCCTCAGGGGCCACTGCTGGGAGAGGTTTATCCACAGCTCAACGCACGCAAAAACAAGAATGACCTCGAGGAAGACACCGAATATGTGAGTGCAGAACAGCATCCTGTTACAACGGCTTTAAGTGTTTCTTATAAATTAGGTTTTGTTGTTTAGGCTTACAGACAGACAGACAGACAGATAGACAGATGGATAGACAGATGGATAGATGGATAGATGGCTAGATGGAAAGATAGATAGATAGATAGGTAGATGGGTAGATGGATGATAGACAGAAGGATGGGCAGATAGATGGATGGATGGATAGTGGGTAGATAAGTGGATAGACAGGTGGATAGTTAGGCAGAAAGACGGATAGATATACATATATAGACATAGATGAATGGACAGGTAAATAGATAGGCGTATAGATGGATATATAGATGCAGATGGATAGACAGGTGGATAGATGGATAGACAGACATATAGATGGATAGATAGGCAGATAGACGTATAAATAGACGTATAGATAGATAGATAAATAGATAGACATGTAGATAGGCAGACAAACAGATAGTTAGACGTATAGATGTATAGGCAGGTGGATGTTAGATAGATGTATATATGGATAGACAGGTGGACAGACAGATGCACTGATGTTTTAGTAAGTGTTCAGTTCTCTCAGCTCTGCTGTTGGATCCATTATACTAATTTCAGATGATTTTCTCTAAGAAGCAGCACATGAAAAGTGGAATAAAGTTACCCATTCTCTCTGAGCCTGATGCTCTCTCACAATTTTAAAGGTCCTTTAGGAAGCTCTTCCTCTCAGTGAAGTGATTTAAAAACACTATTGTGAATCAGTTTGAGCGTATCATTAGAGCGGCTTCAGAAGAGCGGCACATCGTCACGTCTGACAGACGACTGAGGAGAAACTCAGCTCAGTTTAGCATTTAATAAACGTCTCATCAGTGAAATACAGCAGCGGTAGAGTCACAGACACGTGTGTGTGTGTGTGTGTGTGTGTGTGTGGGGGATAAAAAAATGAAGAAGCTCATTATGAACAATGACAGCAAACACAATAGCCAAACTCCGCTGGGTCACAGCAGCTGTCCATTCGCATGAATATGGATGTCATACGGATGTATTAATCCTCATATTTTACTCCATTTCTTGGAAACGTCTCCCAGGGAAAATGAAACTGTTATTTATAATAAATTGGAAAGAGTTGCCTTCATCTCACATAACCAGAGTCCTGCGTGCATGTGTGTGTGTGTGTGTGTGTGTGTGTGTGTGTGTGTGTGTCGCAGAGCCTGTGTTTCCGTATCCAGAAGATGATGGAGGTCTATCGTCCGGGTTGGTGTGAGAGGAGAGAGGATTGGTCCATTTACTTATTCTCTCCTCAGAACAAGTATGTACTCACTGCACATCTCTCCTTCTGTTCAGATCTCTGTTCAATCAGTCTGACTGACTGAATGATGTGTTCCACAGCTGTAAGTATTTGAGTAATAGTACTACTCTTCTATGCTTAATCTGTACTATGAGTTCTTCTATGAATACTTTTACTCAGTTACACTGAAAAATGATACTTTTTTGAAGTACAAAGTGCGTATGTCATATATCAGTTAAATTGTTTCTCAATTATTTAAATAGACAAATAATATTTTTCTTTATTCTAATGTGACTTCAAAAGACGAGGGTGAGTAAATAATGACAGGATGTTACATTTGAATTGTTTAACCATTTCTGCTGCTAAGTTTAGCTGACAATATTCATGTAACAGATTTCAGATTAACATCCGCTGTGTTCAGTGGGTTCAGAACAATGAGAAAATAGTCATTTCTGACAGGTTTTGCATCAACATTTACTTGAATGAGAAAATCACTACAGCCTCTTGATTTCAAAAGTCAAATGAAAAAATTGTTAGAAAAGTATTTAATTTGTCAACTTTTAAATACTCAAGTTGTAGCGTCATTTACAACAGCTTCGAACGCGGCTCAGCCAATCAGAGCCAAGCACCGGAACTCTCCGCTTTATAATGTTTGACATGGTATCTGTACTTTAACTTAGGTGCAAACGCCCTTCAGACAGCACCGTATGTTGACTGCATGACACCAGCTCTCGTCTTGCCGCCTCAGACTCCTGCTGCTCTGCTGAGTCTGGTCTGTACTGACCCGTCAGGATGGCTCCGATTTCAAAATGGTTTTCGCAGCATGAATCTTGGGCTTCTAAGCTTTCAAACGATATATAATTTATTAGTAATTGATGATTACTAAAATATTTGATAGAGAAAAAGAACAACAAATAAAAGAGCGCCAAGCGTCCCACAGGTGGGACGGTGACATTTAAAGGGTTAAACTGTCTCTCTGTCGGTCTCTCTGCAGGTTTCGTCTGCTGTGTCAGACGATCATCGCTCATAAGCTCTTTGACTATGTGGTTCTGGCTTTCATCTTCCTCAACTGCATCACAGTGGCTCTGGAGAGACCCAGAATCCATCAGGGCAGTCTGGTACGGTTCCTCAGTCTTTCACACACTCGTCAGTCTCGTCTGGCAGGAGTGACACAGTCATTTGCAGCTCCGCATGAATACTGTCACATTAGTGCTTGAGCTTCACACGGCAGAAACGAACAGAAAACCCCAGCTTTAATTTCACCTGAACAACCTACTCACATCTGAGTGTCAGACAAGATCATGACGGTGTAGCATCACGTCTTCAAACATGACTCAAATCAAACAAATTCTTGTTTTACACAATGCTTTCTCAAAATTTATTAAACATACTAAACTGAAAATGTTTATTACCCATTGAAAACCATCATACGCCCTAGTAAAGACTTATCAATGCCCTAGCAACCACCATAACACCCTAGTGACCACCCACAACACCCTAAAAACCACTTAGCAACCAACAAGAACATCCCAGCAACTATTTATCAACATTACAAAACACCCTAGTAACATATTTTCAATGCTTTAATAGTCAGCAGAACACCCTAGCAACCACCCGCAACACCCTAGCAACTGCTTAGCAACCAACAATACTAAACTAGTAACAACTTTTCAATGGTAACCACCAGAACACCCTAGCAACCACCCACAGCACCTTAGCAACCAACAAGAAAACTGCACCAACTATGTACCAACAATACAAAACACCCCAGTGAAGACTTTTCAACACCCTAGCAACCACCCACATCACCCTAGCAATCACTTAGCAACCAACAAGAACACTCCACTGTGTACCAACAATTCAAAAAACCTGAGTAACAACTTTACAACATTTCAGTGCCCTAGCAACCCCTTAGCAACCAACAAAAACGCTCCACCAACTATGTATCAACAATACAAAACACCAAACAACTTTTCAACGCCCTAACAACCACCAGAACACCCTAGCAACCACCCACAACACCCTAGCAACCGCTCTGATTGTGGAGCGCTAGCAAGCGCTCGTCCTGTAGAGTCTCAGTGGTGTTGAATGAGTGAAAGCGGTTCAGCCGTGTGAATGTGACATTTCCAGCGGCATAATCACAGGATATTTCAGCCTGCTGTAAAAGTCACGCGTCTCATTCCTAGCGCTGCTGTATCATTAGCTCTCGCTGCCGCCGCTGCTGTAACATTCGTTCTGTTTCTGTTCACCATCTGACCGTCTCCCTCTCTTCTCCCGTCAGGAGCGAGTCTTCCTCACCATCTCCAACTACGTTTTCACGTATAAAGATCTCATTAAGTTATATTAAAAGCATCAGAATTTAATCATATAAATATATTAGGATCTGCACCAAATTGCATGTTTTTTGTTGTCAGTTTGAGTCTCTGAATAAAATAGAGCTGTTTTTCCTCCATAATCTCACTGTATCAGACTATATGTGACCCTGGAGCACAAAACCAGGGTACATTTTTTGAAATTGAGAGTTATGCATCATCTGAAAGCTGAATAAATAAGCTTCCCATTGATGCATGGTTTGTTAGGATAGAACAATATTTGGTCGAGATACAACTATTTGAAAATCTGGAATCTGAGGAAGCAAAAAAATCTAAATATTGAGAAAATCATCTTTAAAGTTGTTCAAATGAAGTTCTTAGCAATGCATATTACTAATCAAACATTAAGTTTTGATATATTTACGGTAGGAAATTTACAAAATATCTTCATGGAACATAATCTTTACTTAATATCCTAATGATTTTTGACATAAAAGAAAAATCTATAATTTTGACCCATACAATGTATTTAGACAATGTAGTTAACCCTTTAGTTTCTGTGTCCCGAGTCAAAGCCAGCTGATCCGGTCTCTGTCTCGTCTGTCTCAGGTGGTTTCTAAGGGTCTGTATCTGGGGGATCGCGCGTATCTGCGCAGCAGCTGGAACATTCTGGATGGGTTTCTCGTCTTCGTGTCTCTGATTGATATTGTGGTGTCGATGACGGGTGGAGCGAAGATCCTGGGCGTCCTGCGGGTGCTCAGACTGCTGAGAACATTACGCCCGCTCAGGTGAACAACTAATTAGTTGATTAGTTAGGTCAAGTAGACACATGTACTTAAACCAGCCTCATCAGGGCTTTCTTTAACCAACTAGTCCTTCAGAGATGAACAGACTGCAGGTTCAGGATTCATCAAGGTTCAAAGATCAATTTGAGTTGCTGGAAAAACTGGATGTTTCTCTAGAACTATTTCTCATTTAGGGTCATAAACATGCATGCAAAGATTTGACTCTGCTTCTTTGAAACAAATTGTATTGTGTAAAGCACTGTTGAAATAAAGGTGACTTGACAGTGAGGTATTGTGCGTACAAAATTTCTATTATGATTGTGATGCTAGCGGATCAATTTGACCTGGAAATTTCATCGTTTTTCAAAGTTTTTCAAGAAAGTTCAAGATATTTCAAGACAGCTACACAGAACCAAAAATATATATATATATATAAATATGTATTTTGTTATGCCAGTATCTCAACTACCTTCTGAGGGAATTTGCACGTATGCATTTGGCAGATGCTTTTAATAAAATAAATGCATATTGTGTTGAAAGTGTACATTTTTATCAGTTCATGCATGTGAATTTTGCTGGGAATGAACCCCATGATCTTGACATTGGTAATGCCATGCTCTACTGCTTGAGCTTCAGGAAGGCACACATTTTTTTTTCTTAAATAATAAAAAAAAATCAAAAATGGAAGAAAAAAAAATGCAGTTTTAAAAGTCATGTTTTAGTGATTTTACCAGATTTTTTTTTTTCGTAATGTGATTTTTTTT